CTATTGTTATCTTTTTTATTTTTGAGACAAGGTCTTGCTTTGTTGCCCAGGTTGAAGCATGGCAGCATGATCTTGTTGCCATCTTTATGTCCGTGAGTATCCAGTGTTTAGTGCCGCTTATAAGTGAGAACATCGTGGTATTGGTTTTCCATTCCTGGGTTAATTTGCTTAGGATAATGACCTCCAGCTGCAACCATGTTGCTAAAAAGGCTATGATTTCATTCTTTTTTATGGCTGCACAGTATTCCATTGTGTATATGTACCATATATTCCATGGTGTATATTCCATGGTACATATACATCATAAAAGACTACGGCAACAGTAGAAACTGGGACTACTATAGGTGGAAGGAAGGGAGGAAGGCAAGGGTTAAAAAAACTATTGGGTACTATGCCCAGTACCTGTGTAATGGGATCATTCTTACCCTAAACCTCAGCATCACATAATACACTCACATAACAAATCTGCACATGTATCCTCTGAATCTAAAAAGCCGTAAGAAGGAATAAAATAATTTTCTTTATTCAGTTCCACTGTTTGTGGACACCTAGGTTGACTCCATGTATTTGCTATTGTGAATATTGCTGTGATGAACATGAGAATGCATGTGTCTTTTTGGTAGAAGGATTTGTTTTCTTTTGGATATATACCCAGTAATGGGATTGCTGGGTCAAACAGTTCTAAGTTCGCTGAGAAATGTTCAAACTGCTTTCCACAGTTGCTGAACTAATTTATATTCCCACCCAAAGTATATAAGCTTTCTGAAAAGAGAACTCTTATAAACTGTTGGTAGTAATGTAAATTAGTGTAGCCACTACAAAAACCAGTATGAGAGATTTCTCAAAAAGCTAAAACCAGAATTACCATTCAATCCAGCAATCCCACTACTGGGTATTTATCCAAAGAAAAAGAAGTCAGTATATCAAAGGGATACCAGCACTTTTTTTTATTGCAGCACTATTCACAATAGCAAAGATATGGAATCAACCTAAGTGTCCATTAATGAATAAAAGGATAAAGAAAATACGATATACATACACAATATACTGTTGTTCTCTGTTATGGCTGAATACTATTATTCTCTTTGCAGCAACATGGATGGAAACCAGATTATTAAGTGAAATAATCCAGGAACAGAAAGACAAATACCACATGTTCTCACTCATATGTGAGAGTCTAAAAAATGGATCTCACAGAGTTAGAGAGTAGAATAATAGATGCCAGAGGCTGGGAAGGCTGTGTGGGTGGGAGGGGATGAAGACAGGCTCGTTAGTGGGTATAAACGTAAAATTAGATAGAAGATACAAATTCTTTTTTTTTTTTTTTTTGAGATGGAGTTTCGCTGTTGTTACCTAGACTGGAGTGCAATGGCACGATCTTGGCTCATTGCAACCTCCGCCTTCTGGGTTCAAGCAATTCTCCTGCCTCAGCCTCCCCAGTAGCTGGGACTATAGGCGCACACCACCATGCCCAGCTAATTTTTGTATTTTTAGTAGAGATGGGGTTTCACCTTGTTGACCAGGATGTTCTCAATCTCTTGACCTCATGATCCACCCGCCTTGGCCTCCCAAAGTGCTGGGATTATAGGCATGAGCCACTGCACCCGGCCAGAAGGTATAAATTCTAACGTTTGCTAGCAGAGTAAGGTGACTATATTTAGCAAAAATGTATATGTCAAAGTAGCTAGAAGGGAGAACTTGTAATGACACCAACACACAGAAATAATAAATATTCAAGATGGATACCCCAAATATCCTGTTTTGGTCATTGCACATTCTATATATGTAACAAAATATCACATGTACTCCATAAATATGTAAAATATTATGTATCAGTTTAAAACAGAAAAAAAACCTATCTTTTTACCCAACAGAAGGATACACATAGAATGAAGACTTCTCATCTCAGATAAACATAGCATCATTGAAGATGTAGGGGAAGTAACTGCCTCCCTCCCATAACAGGTTTGCTTCATATGAAGGAAACCAAAATATATGCCCCCTAAATATGCCTCCTTGACCTAAAAATTGTTTTTGAGCCAAAGGCAATTAAGAAAAAGCAAGCAGGGTGTGGTGGTTCATGCCTGTAATCCCAGCATTTTGGGAGGCCAAGGCGGGCGGATCACCTGAGGTCGCGAGTTCGAGACCAGCCTGACCAACATGGAGAAACCCCGTCTCTACTAAAAATACAAAATTGGCCAGGCATGGTGGTGGGCACCTGTAATCTCAGCTACTCAGGAGGCTCAGGCAGGAGAATTGTTTGAATCTGGAAGGCAGAGGTTGCGGTGATCTGAGATCGCACCATTGCACTCCAGTCTGGGCAACAAGAGCGAAACTCTGTCTCAAAAAAAAAAAAAAAAAAAAAGCAAATATAGGAAAATCTCTCTCTACCTTCCCCCTTACCTGCCTAAAGACAGGATATCAAGTCTTCTTTACTGGAGACAACTCTAGACTTTTAGGAACACAGCGATGGCAGCAGAGGAATCTGCAAGGAAACTTCACTCCATTAGTTTCCTCCCATATATTTACCTTCTCACAGTTTCTGGCCCTTGGAAGCTGAAAACAGCTTACATTTGTCCTGCTGTTTCTCCACAAATTTACTGTTCTTTGTGGAATATGTTACGTAAGACATAGTTCTAAGCCACTGCTTTGAGTGACTTTTCATTGAGGTTTCTCCCACAGGATACGTGCTGCAAATGTTAATAAACTTGTTTGTTTTTCTCTTGCTAATCTTTCTTTTATTACAGGGTTCATACCAACTAACAACTCATGGAGGTTGTGGAAAATTGTATTTCCTCCCTGGCAATATCTTTGAAAACATTAAGAAAATTACTTGAATGCCTGCTCTATGCCACTTTATACTTGTATTCTAGGTATTCACAAGGGTGGTCTCAAAAACACAGAGTCTCTGCTCCCACGGAGCTTACAATTCTGAGGTGGAGGCAGACAGTAAATACAGTAGTCTCTCTTTGTCCTTGATTTTACTTTCTGTGGTTTCAGCTACCTGAGGTCAACTGTGGTCCAAAAATATTAAATAAAAAATTCCAGCAATAAACAATTCATAAATTTTATATCAAGTACTATTCTGAGTTTGTGAAATCTTGTGCTGTCCCTGTCTGTCCTGTCCTGGACATGAATCCCTTTTCTGGTGTATCCACACCCATTTGTTTCTTGGGAGCAGTCTCAGTTATCAGATCAACCGTCATAGTATCACAGTGCTTGTGTTCAAGTAACTCTTATTTTACTTAATAATAGCCCTGAAGAGCAAGAGTAGTGATGCTGGCAATTAAGAGATGCCAAAGGGAATCTGCATAGTGTTTCCTTTAAGTAAAACCCATGAAAGTTCTCTACTTAATAAGGAAAGAAAACAATTGTATACTGAGGTTGCTAAAATCTATGGTAAGAAGAATCTTCTGTGAAGTTATGAACAGTATATTGTTATAATTGTTTTATTTTATTATTAATTATTCTTAATATCTGTGTCAATTTATAAATTAAACTTTATCACAGGTATGCATATATAGAAAAAATATAGCATATATAGGGTTTGGTACTATCTGTGGTTTCAGGCACCCACTAGAGTCTTGGAATGTATCCCCTGTAGTTAAAAGGGGGGCATAACTATAAATATCCAAAGAAAGTATACTATTTCAGATAGCAAACAGTGCTATAAAAGTATAAAAGTAATTTTATATAAAAGCAGTTTTTAAAATAAAAAGATTTGATGAGTATTTAACATTAACAGCTCTAGCACAGAGTAAGGCTGATAAAAGATTTCATAAAAACTCCAACTCTTTGTGTAAATTAGTTCAACCCTTATGGAATACAGTGTGGTGATTCCTCAAGGATCTAGAACCAGAAATACCATTCGACCCAGCAATCCCATTCCTGGGTATATACCCAAAGGATTATAAATCATTCCACTATAAAGACACATGCACACGTATGTTTACTGCAGCACTGTTCACAACAGCAAAGACTTGGAACCAACCCAAATGCCCTTCATGATAGACTGGATAAAGAAAATGTGGCACATATACACTATGAAATACTATGCAGTCATAAAAAAGGATGAGTTCATGTCCTTTGCAAGGACATAGATGAAGCTGGAGGAAACCATCATTCTCAGCAAACTAACAGAGGAACAGAAAACCAAACTGCCTGTTCTCACTCATAAGTGAGAGCTGAACAATGAGAACCCATAGACACAGGGAGGGGAACATCACATCCCAGGGCCTGCTGGAGAGTGGGGGTTTAGGGGAGGGATACCATTAGGAGAAATACCTAATGTAGATGACAAGTTGATGGGTGCAGCAAACCACCATGGCATGTATATACCTATGTAACAAAATTGCATGTTCTGTACATGTATCCCAGAACTTAAAATATAATTTAAAAAAAGAGGAAGAAAACACTAAAAAACAAACAAAAACTTCAACTCATTGCGTACAGACAGATCCAGGGCACACAGTGAGAAACAGAACCACAGCATGGTTGATTTGGGGCCATCTATTGAAGATGGATGTTTCTAATATAATGGGCCTCTCAGAGGAACAAATTAAATTCACAGTTAAACCATGTTTACCAGGGAAATCCTATTGCTGAGATTCCATAGACATTTTTGAACGTCTAATGTGACAGCACTGTATGAGAAGTAATGAGGAGTGAATGGGGAATCAAAGAGAAAAATTCCTTACCTTTAGATTACTGCCTCAACATCTAGCATGACTTTCCTAAATCCCAGTAAGACTTGGCTGGTCACAAAATGGGATGCTAACATATTCCCATGCTGCATGTCAGATGAACACGTGGGTAGGCTGGGATTGTAGCAACAGCAATGACTACCACCACCACAGTGGAAAACACCTTGATAATCCAATGTGGAACTGTATATTAGACACAAATTTAGGACACTAATCTAGTGTATAAATTGCACAGTTTTTAATCTCAGCTTAAACTTCCTTTTAGCCTTGTGACCTTTGAGCCAAACTCTGTCTCTGTTTCCATATCTTGAATATGGGAATAAGAGAACTGACCCTACTGGGTTGTGGCAGGGATTAAACAAACTACAGTCATCCCTCAGTAGGAGCAGGGATTAGGTTTCAGTTCCTCCTCCCCACATATACCAAAATCCTCAAGTTGGCCCTGCAGAACCCCTGTATGTGAAAAATGGGTTGGAAAAAATCTTTATCATAATCTGTAAGTGAATCCATACAGCTCAAACCCATGTTGTTCAAGGGTCAACTGTAACATGAAATATGTAAATGCTCTCCACACAGTGTCACAGAGTAAAACTCACCACATAGTAATAGTGTTAGTAGTTATTACTGTTTAAAATTACAGAAAAATGTTCATTCCCAAGCAACTTTACATAACAGCTTTTAGTTATAAGACAACTGTAGGTTAAATGCTTTGTAACTAAGTCATTACCAAATCAAGAGCAAAAAACTTTGCAGCCTTTTCTAACTTTGACTAGCAAATAATTGCCTTAAAATTAGAATACAAAATACAACCATCTAAATCTTTCTGTGGAATGATGGGATTTAATGTTGCAGAAAGAGTAGGTGGGATTTAATTTAATGCTTTAATGTAGCTCTCTGGGCTTTTGTAAAGAATAACTACAGGGTATCATTTTCATTATTGTGTCAGATTATCACATACCTTATTTACGTACTGATTTCCATTTTCTTTTCAAAGTTTGGTTATACCTTTCTGTTCAAGAGTCAAATAAAAAAATGATATGCTAAAAAGAAGGCTCTGTGAAGTGAATGACAATTCAGTTTCCTCCAGTGTTGGCTGGTTGCATGAGAAAATAAAGAACTGGAGCAAGTTGACAGGATCTTTAGTTGACTAGATTTATTTCCCAGAATTTTCAGGGTGTGTTAATTGTGACATTTCAGTTAATGAAAAATACTGTGATAAAACAGTGATATGGGTGGTAAATGGACTTTTGAACAGATGTGATGGTAAAATGCTATTTTAAAAACATTGGGAGGAAATAATCAAAACTCTTTGGTTGACTGGGTCATTCTTGTGGGTAAATTAGGCTTCCCAGGAAGGCAACACTTTTTTTCAAATCACCAGGCTACCCATAATTATTCATGGTGTTACTGAGCTGCTATTCCAGTTAAATATAGTCTCATTCTATAGAAAGCTTACATAAACTATAAAAAAGGAAGAAAGATACAGAAACATTAAAATATCAGAAAAAGCAAACTATTTTAGACTAAAAATTATACTAATTATTCTTACTAATTATACTAATTATTCTTTTTATTCTTATTAATAGTAAAGTATAATATAAACATAGAAAAATGCACAAATCATAACTGTGTGGTTCAATGAATAATCCCACAGTGAGCCACAACCACCACCTGGGTCAAGAGGTAAAAGCTCCCCTTCCTCCTTTTGATCATTACACTCTCTTCTCCCTACAAGTGACCCTGATGACTTCTAATACCCATGGCTCAGTTTGTCTGTTTTTGAATTTCCTATGAATGGAATCATACAATATGTATTTTTCAGTTGTGTAGCTTTGATATGGACAGGAGACAGGGAAACAGTGTGGAAGAAGAGGGTGGTTCCCTGGCAAAGGCCCCACCCTCAAGCCTGGAAGGAGCATCTGAAAGTCCAGAAGAGTTTGACTGGGGAGCGTTGGAGAGGAGATCAGCCACTGGACAGCCAAACACCAGGGCAAGATCATCTTCCCAATCCATCCCCTTTCCAGCTCCCATCCATCTCATTAAGAGCCACCTCCACTACTCAATAAAACCCTGGCATCCACGATACTTCAAGTCTGTGTGTGACCTGATTTTTTCTGGATACTGGACAAGAACGCAGAATACAGAAAGCTATCACACTGACCCTCTGCCCTTGCAAAAAAACCAGAGAGTCCACTGAGCTGTTTAACACTTAAGCCATACATGGATGACAAAGCTAAAAAAGCACACTGTAACACACACCCACTCGAGTTTCAGGAGTGATGAGCACCTACCCCTAGATGCTACTGTGGGGCCAGAGCCCAAAAGTGCTTGCCCTGGCTCATGGATCTGACCATGGGCATGCCCCTCCTTCCATAAGGGGTTTGAGCTTTCATAGTGGTTGAAGAAACAAGCCACACTCCATCACATGTCCTGCAAGGGGGGGGTCAGGGAACTTTCCCATTCCAGCTTCTTTCCCTGAATATTACATTTGTACAATTCATCCATGTTTTATAGTGTAACAGTATTTTACTGTGTGAATATATCACAATTTACTTATCCCTTCTACTACTGAAGGAGAATGGGTTGTTTCCAGTTTGGGGTTATCATGAATGCGTTTATGTAGGGAGGAAAACATTTTCCTCTTCCAACTTGGGTTTAGTGGTTTGGGGGCATGAAAATCAACTGACAATAGATATGAGAAAAGACAAATGTTATTTACAGTGCACGAAGGAATTTCTCTGTAATGAGTAACTCACTGAATAGCCAGAAATGAAAGTTTATATACCAGCTTAAAAAGAGGAGAGTGGTATTTTAAGGCTTCAGTGGGAAAGTGTGAAAGGTTTTAAAGGAAAGTTCAAATACAATTTCTTTCTGCATCTTCTATAGCTCAAATGCTTTCACTTTAAAATAATCTTTATACTAATTCTAGGAGTTGGGTTGGGTCCTCACAGCTTATATGACTTTGGATGCAAGTACGCACACATTTTACTGGCTATACATCTAGGAGGGTAATCGTTGGGGAAAATAATATGGCATGTTCATCTTGTATAGATGCCATCCAAACAGTTTTCCATTGTTTCAACTTATACTTCCACCAGCTGAGCACGTTGAAATTGATATTTTGGATATACTAGATTAAACAAAATACATTGTTAAAATTAATTTTACTTGTTTTTCAGTTTTGAAAGTGGTTACTAGAAAATTTAAAATTACATATATGGCTCGCATTCTATTTCAATTGGAGTGCTGCTCTAGATGATGTTTTCTTCCTTCAGATGGAATTCTAGCAGGCAATTAAGATAGCATTAGAGTGCCCTTATCCAGTCAGCAAAGAGGATGATTCAAAATGTGTCTCAGATCCCCTGGAGAGCTGGTCTATTTCTGGCCCACCCTTTTACTTAAAGTGTAATATTCTAGAACTTACTATTGCTTCATGTCTTCATGGCTTCAAATTTTATTCTCTAAGCTCAGGAGGCACCAGAGGCTATGTTCAGCAACTGAGTCCTTTGGCTGCTGCTTTCTAAAGTGGCATTTTTCTTGGGAAAAGTGACAATGTGTAAGGCTACATCTCCTGGCTTCCCTTCTCTCCTGGATCAAGGGTCCATAAATCCTCACTGAGATTTGGAAGCTCTCCAATGGCTTCAAGCAGATAATTTCCACATTTTGTTTGGCTTTTCTGGTTGTTCTCAGAGGGAAGTTAAGTGTGAAAACAACCAGATTTGCCATCACCGGAAGTAGAAATCATATTAGTTGAAAAATTATGCTTATCATCTAATGTTGTAAGATTTTAATCACTGTTGATATGGAGAACTGAGTCAGGGTTGTGGAGGAGTAGTCTTACTCTCACTTCATTCAAGGAAGGTTTTACAGAAAAGAGTGGGAGACTTTTAGATTAGGAGATACTAGCAAAATGATAATTCTAGGGTTAGGGAGTGTCATGTAAAGCTATGAGTAAATTCTGTTCCATAACTAGTTTATTACACACATGATGAAGAGCCTAGTTCTAAGTAGACAAGTTATAAATCACATGCTAATTCTGATTAGTAGTACTGCCTGAAGTACATTATTGAGAAGAATTTTAAGTTTATATCCATGCTCAGTGGATGAGAGAACAGTTTTCCATTAGCAATGCCTGCCATGGACAAAAAATGGGGGAGAGCTGCACATGAATGTGAATCATAATATCCCAGGAGGAATACACTAGTCGCTGAATTATTGTGTATCAAATGCATGACAGCAATGGATTGTTTGTAAATTGAAATGATTTAGATACGTCATATCACTTTAAATTGGCTGTTGATCAATATTAACATGGTGGAAGATCTTTAATAGAAGACCAAAGAGCTCTATCTTCAGGAATGAGCTATCTAAGGTTGTAGTCCTGTAGAAAGTGAGCATCCTTTTCAAATTTGTGGAGACACGTATTGAAGGATAGAATGGGCTGAATGATAAAGATTGAGAATCATCTTGAGAGTCAAGAAATACAGTTTAGATACTAATATCTTTTCACAAGTTTTATTTATTTATTTATTTAGATACTAATATTTATTTCACAAGACTGTCAGATCCTGGCACAAAATGCAATAGTGGACAAAAATAGAGTTCTTGCCTTCATAAATCTTACAGTATGAAGGCTAAGACAAATGTCAATTAGATAATCAGGCAAAAATAAAGTTAAATGGTATGATGAGAACATATCAGCTTCAAGGTTCTCTAGAGGAAGTGACGCCTGAGAGAAGATCTAATGCATGAATAGGTGTCAACCAGGCAAGGTAAGGGGAAAAGCATTCCAGGATGATGAAATAGAGTAAAAAGGCCCTGAGGCAGGCAGGTCTGAGAAAAGGAAAGGAGGCCAGTGTGGTGAATGCCCAACTCTCTAGAGAGAAAATGGTGCAAAATAAGGATGGGCTGGAAGGCGGGGGCCAAGCCTCTCAAGCCTTGCAGGCCATTGACAGAGTTTGGTCTTTATCCTAAGAGAAATGGGAAGCAACTGAAAGGTTTTACCATGGGGGTGTCAGAGTCAGAAAACTGACTCTGCATTTAGGAAAGGCCACTCTGGCTACTCCATGGGAAATGGGCACAGGTAGTGGTGAAAAGGGTATGTGGATAGATGGGGGCTACTTAAAAGGCTATAACAATAGTCCAGGAAAAAGATGGTGATTGTTTTAGGTGACTGAAAGCCAAATGTAAGACATTAGTAGGATATGGGAACTAAAACTATGAATGTGATTTAAGTTACACCAATATTCGCAATGTACTGTCAATGGTGTAACTGTAGCCTTAACTCTTTGGATTACATCTAGATTATGTGTTCATTTTAGAGAACTGCAATTTGATACATTCAAAGGTAACCAAAAGAAGGTGATTAGGACTATGCCATGACCAGGAATGGCAAAGTGGAGTTGGGGCTAGAATGAGAAAACGTGAGACTGGAGGAGAAAACAGAGCAACCGAGAAGTGATATTTCAAAATTCAAGAGCTACTTTATGTAAAGTGATGGTTCTACTTATTGTTCTGGAGAGAGAACTAGGATCAATGGGAAGAAGCTATAAGAAGCCTACACCAGCTCAGTGTAGGAAAGATTCCCATGGATGGAGATGCCCAATAATGGAATGGGCTGTCTTCTGCTGCACTGAGCCTGCTTCCCCAGCAGAGATGTGCAAAGTTTGGAGACACTGGGTTAAATCATCTCCCTGATATCATTGAACCCTTTAATTAAGATTCTCTGATTCCATTAATGTATGATTTTGTTGGAAGAAAACGTATTCCTAATATTACTATTAATATTCCTACCAATATTATCATCACTTTCTACCACTTAAAAAATACATATGACAGGCCCTGTGCAAAGCAGGTTATGAGTATTATTTCATTTAATCTTTGCAATAACACTTTAAGGTGGGTATTGAAATACAATCCCTATTTTTAGATAACTTAATTGGGGCTTAGAGAGGTTAACAATGTCATAAAGATATAAATCCCCACCTCATGAAATCCCTTATTCTACTGTATGCCAATTAATCTCATACTCAGCTAAATGGTTTAACCAATTTTTAACATTTGAATACAAAAATATACGAAATGCCATATTTCCAATGACAACATATATTCAGTGTCACAGCTAGTAACTATGTCAGTCAGAATAAGGATATGTTATGGTTGATAGCAAAAAGCCCTCAAATCTCAGTGACTTACAAACAACAAATGTTAATTTCTTGCCTATGCTAAGTGTTTATAACACATCATTATGGGGACTTTCTTTGTCATAGTCATTAAGTGACTGGGCTGACTGAACCACCTTCATCTTGAATGTTTCTGGTCACAGTGTCAGAGGAAAAGATAATCTGGAAGGTTTCACACTTGCAATTTAAATGCTCTTGCCAAGTAATAACACCAGCCTTTTTGCTTCCAATTAGTTGGCAAGAACTAGTGGGTTAGTTGGCTCCACCCTAAAACAAGGAAACCTAGAAGTGCAACACAACCATGTATTTGAAATCTGGAGAGCTTGGGAATATTTGGCTAACAGTGTCAGTAACTAGTATAGACATTATATCTTCAAGGCAGTCAGAAAACATGCAAACAACCTTTGCTACATGCATTTCAGAATCTCTACCAAGAATATTGACTATTTACATTGTTGATTTACCCCAAGTTGAGAGAATGTTAGAAGAGAAGAAATGTATCAAGCAGAAGAAAGGATACCAGAGGTTGAAGACCTACTTAATGAAATAAAACGAGAAGACAAGAATAGAGAAAAAAGGATAAAAAGGAATGAGCAAAGTCTCCAAGAAATATGGGACTATGTGAAAAGACCTAATTTTGATAGGTGTACCTGAATACGATGAAGAGAATGAATCCAAGCTGGAAAATACTCTTCAGCATATTATTTAGGAAAACTTTCTGAATCTAGCAAAGCAGCACAATATTCAACCCCAGGTATTACAGAGAACACCACAAAGATATTCCTCAAGAAGAGCAACCCCAAGGCACATAATCGTTAGATTCACCAGGGTTGAAACGAAGGAGAAAATACTAAGGGCAGCCAGAGAGAAAGGTCAAGTTACCCACAAAGGGAAGCCTATTAGACTTACAGCAGATCTCTCAGCAGAAACCCTACAAGCCAGAAGAGAGTGGGGGCCGATATTCAACATCCTTAAAGAACAGAATTTTCAGCCCAGAATTTCATATCCTGCCAAACTAAGCTTCACAATTGAAGGAAAAATAAAATCTTTTATGAACAAGCAAGTACTCAGAGATTTTATTACCACCAGGCTGGCTTTACAAGAGCTTCTGAAAGAAGCATTATACATTGAAAGGAACAACCGGTATTAGCCTTTCTAAAAATATACCAAAAAGTAAAGAGCATCAACATAAAGAAGAATTTACATCAATGAATGGATAAAATAGCCAGTTAACATCAAATGGCAGTAACCCTAAATTTAGGTCGACTAAATCCCCCAATCGAAAGATACAGCCAAAACCTAATGATATGCTACATCCAGACCCATTTCACATCCAAAGATACACAAAGACTTAAAACAAAGGGATAGAGAAAGATTTACCAACCAAATGGAGAGCACAAATAAATAAATAAATAAAAAGCAGGAGTTGCAATTCTTGCATCTGATAAAATAGATTTCAAAGCAACAAAGACATAGTGGTAAAAGGATCAATGCAACAATAAGAACTAACGATCCTTACACCCAGATACATAAGACTCATAAAGAGATTTAGACTCAATGAGACAGAAAATTAATAAGGATATCCAGGACTTGAACTCAGATCTGGAACAAGTAAACTCAATAAATATTTATAGAGCTCTCCATTTTAAATACACAAAATATACATTCTTCACCTTAAATACACAAAATATACATTCTCCACCTTAAATACACAAAATATTGATGGGCCATTATTAATACCCATTTTTAGAAACAAAGCTACATTCCCGTTTTCTCTCCCTCTTTTTCTTCCTCTTCCACTCCTTCACTCCTTTTTTTTCTTTCTTAAAAAAAAAAAAAGAAAAAGGGAAGAAATGTAGAAAACATGCTGAATTCTGGTAAAGTTCTTCACTGTATATGTAAAATATAATTTAATCATAATCATGCCTGGGAAACAAGCCCTAGACACGCCAAAGTAGTATATTTATTTGCGTTTGGCCTAGATACAAATGTTTAGATGCAATATTTTACTCCAAGTTTCAGTGTACCTACTTATGTAAAGCCACCATTGGTGAACTGGGAGAACAGAATACTAAACAACTGAAGCCTTACATTAGGTTTTGAATATTAAGATATTAGAACAAAAACTATTTCAATGCCTCATAAAAATTTTATTCTGAAAATCCTTGCTAAGACAAGTCCATCACTGTCAAATTAACTACAAATGTGCTACTAAAATCTCGATTTTATTTATATAAAAATATAAACCTCTTAAAAAGTTTTACTTTCTGGTAAATATTTGTAGTAATACAAAATAAAATAAGTAATTCACCTATTTCTTGCAGGGACTCAGAGTACTCAGTTGAAATTTGAACTACTTTTATCTATTATGTATGGGAAAATATTTTATTCATAAATACTCTCATCTCAACTACAAAACTAAAAATGGACAATGAAAATGTAAAGACAAATCAGTGACATCTTTGAAGCATTTCACTGAAAATGGCTGTTAGAAGATAAATTCTTGTTGTAAGTAATTTAAATGCTTGAAGAAAGAGGACATGTGATGTTGGTATGCTAAAAACATAATTAAAATTTATATTACAAATGCTAGTTCAGAAAAGAACCGATTTTAAAAGCCAATGATGTTTCCTGTAAGAGCATTGCTGTGGTATTTTATAATAAATGATACCTTTTTCTAATTTGAAAGCTACGTATTTTAATAGAGAATAGCCCAAAATGTTTTTAAGGTCAAACTAGAAATATGTTGATGATTTACAGAAATGCAAGCCAAGTGCTTTATTATATTATACTACCAGAGTGTTATTGTAGTTTAAAAATATCATTAAATCAGCACAAAGCCACACTTATCATTTCCTGCACATTTTTCACACCAAGCTGCCTTCTGACTATGAGTAATCTGTTAATCTACTTTTCGCCTCACAATCCGTCAAAGTGACAGATTCATTCCTTTCCTAATACATAATATCTTCATTTACTGTATGCCTTGCTGCAACTTTCTTTTTTGCTAGCACTGAAATTTAGAAATTCACAAACAAATTTAGAGAATGTCACATGGGTGGTAGTTCTTGTTTGTTTCCCATTTCTTCTGCTAGTCCAGCAGAAGAAACTAAAATTTTTGTAGACTCCTAATGTGAATTAGTAGTATATTCAAAATGAAGGCAATTTTAGGTTTCAATATGAGTGTTGCTGAAAAAGTTGGAAGAGGGCAAATGGCAAAAAAAAAAGTGCATCCTTCACCAAGTCAAACACTGATTGTAATGGCATTTTCTTTCTTTCTTTTTTTGTATTGTACTTCAGGTTTTGGGGTACATGTGCAGATCATGCATGATTGTTGCACAGGTACACAAAAGGCAATGTGGTTTGCTGCCTCCATCTCCCTGTCACCTACATCTGGCATTTCTCCCCATGTTATCCATCCCCGACCTCCCACTCCCCCGCTGTCCCTCTCTCGGCACCCTCAACAGACCCCCAGTGTGTGATGTTCCCCTCACTGTATTCATGTGTCCTCATTGTTCATCACCCACCTATGAGTGAGAACATGCAGTGTTTGATTTTCTGTTCTTGTGTCAGTTTCCAGAGAATTATGGTTTCCAGATTCATCCATGCCCCTACAAAGGACATAAACTTATCATTTTTTATGGCTGCATAATATTCCATGGTGTATATGTGCCACATTTTCCTTGTCCAGTCTACTGTTGATGGGCATTTGGGTTGGTTCCAGGTCTTTGCTATTGCAAACAGTGCCACTATGAACATATATGTCTTTATAATAGAATGATTTGTAATCCTTTGGGTATATACCCAGTAATGGGATTGCTGGGTCAAATGGAATTTCTATTTCTAGGTCCTTAAGGAAGCACCACACTGTCTTCTACAATGGTTGAACTAGTTTACACTCCCACCAACAGTGTAAAAGTGTTCATATTTCTCCACATCCTCTCTAGCATCTGTTGTCTCCAGATTTTTTTCATGATTGCCATTCTAACTGGCATGAGATGGCATCTCACTGTGGTTTTGATTTGCATTTCTCTATAATCAGTGATGATGAGCATTTTTTCATATGTTCGTTGGCCTCATATATGTTTTCTTTTGAAAAGTGTCTGTTCATATCCTTCGCCCACTTTTGAATGGTCTTGTTTGTATTTTTTTCTTGTAAATCTGTTCTAGTTCTTTGTAGATTCTGGATATTAGCCCTTTGTCAGACAGGTAGATTGCAAAATTTCTTTTCCATTCTGTTGGTTGTCAGCTCACTCTAATGATTGTTTCTTTTGCTGTGCTGAAGCTAAGGAGTTTAATTAGGTCCCATTTGTCTATTTTGGCTTTCATTGCCAATGCTTTTGGTGTTTTTGTCATAAATGTCCTGAATGGTTTTGCCTAGATTTTCTTCTAGGATTTTTATGGTGTTAGGTCTTATGTTTAAGTCTTTAATCCATATGGAGTTAATTTTAGTGTAAGGTGTCAGGAAGGGGTCCAGTTTCTGCTTTCTGCACACTGCTAGCCAGTTTTCCCCACATCATTTATTAAACAGGAAATCCTTTCTGCATTGCTTGCTTTTGTCAGGTTTGTCAAAGATCAGATGGTTGTAGACATGTGGCATTTCCTCCAGGGCCTCTGATCTGTTCCATTGATCTATGTCTCTGTTTTGGTACCAGTACCATGCTGTTTTGATTACTGTAGCCTTGTAACATAGTTAACATAGTTTGAAATCAGGTAGCATGATGCCTCCCACTTTGTTCATTTTGCTTAGAATTGTCTTGGCTATGCGGTCTCTCTTTTGGTTCCATATGAAGTTTAAGGTGTTTTTTTTCCAGTTCTGTGAAGAAGGTCATTGGTAGCTTGATAGGAATACCATTGCATCTATAAATTATGTTGGGCAGCATGGCCATTTTCATGATATTGATTTTTCCTAACCAGGAGCATGGAATATTTCTCCATCTGTTTGTGTCCTCTCTTATTTCGTTGAGCAGTGGTTTGTAGTTCTCCTTGAAGAGGTCCTTTACATCCTTTGTTAGTTGTATTCCTAGGTATTTTATTCTCTTTGTAGCAATTGTGAATGGGAATTTGCTCATGATTTGGCTCTCTGTTAGTCTGTCATTGGTGTATAGAAATGCTTGTGATTTCTGCACACTGATTTTGTATCCTGAGACTTTGCTGAAGTTGCTTATCAGTTTAAGGAGATTTTGGACTGAGATGATAGGGTCTTCTAAATATACAATCATGTCATCTGCAAATAAAGACAATTTGACTTCCTCTTTTCCTAATTGAATATCCTTTATTGTTTTTTCTTGCCTAATTGCTCTGGCTAGAACTTCCAATACTATATTGAATAGGAGTGGTGACAGAGTGCATCCTTGTCTAGTGCTGTATTTCAAAGGGAATGCTTCCAGGTTTTGCCCATTCACTATGATTCTGGCTGTATGTCTGTCATAAATAGCTTTTATTGTTTTGAGATATGTTCCTTTGATATCTAGTTTTTTGATAGCTTTCAACATAAAGTGCTGTTGGATTTTGTTGAAGGCCTTCTCTGCATCTATTGAGATAATCACGTGGTTTCGGTCTTTGGTTCTGTTTATGTGGTGGATTACATTTATAAACTTGTGTATGTTGAACCAGCGTTACATCCCTGGAATGAAGCCTCCTTGATTGTGATGGATAAGCTTTTTGATGTGCTGTTGCAATCAGTTTGCCAGTATTTTATTGAAGATTTTTGCATCTATGTTCATCATGGATATTGGCCTGAAGTTTTCTTTTTTTGTTAAGTCTGCTGGGTTTTGGTATCAGGATGGTCTTGGTCTCATAAAATGAGTTAGGGAGGATTCCCTCTTTTGGGATTGTTTGGAATAGTTTCAGAAGGAATGGTACCAGCTCCTCTTTGTACGTCTGGTAGAATTCAGCTGCGAATGCATCTGGACCTGGGCTTTTTTTGTGTGGTAGGCTATTAATTGCTGCCTCAACTTCAGCCCTTGTTATTGGTCTATTCAAAGTTTCAACTTCTTCCTGGTTTAGGCTTGGGAGGGTGCAAGTGTCCAGGAATTTATCCATTTCTTCCAGGTTTACTGGTTTATGTGCATAAAGTTGTTTGTAGTAATCTCTGATTGAAGTTTCTATTTCTGTGGAATCCGTGGTGATATCCCCTTTATCCTTTTTTATCGCATGTATTTGATTTTTCTCCCTTTTCTTTTTTATTAATCTGGCTAGTGGTCTGTCTATTTTGTTGATCTTTTCAAAACACCACCTCCTGGATTTATTGATCTTTTTGAAGGGTTTTTTTGTGTCTCTATCTTCTTCAGTTCTGCTCTGATCTTAGTTATTTCTTTCTTTCTTTTTTTTTTTTTTGAGACAAAGTCTCACTCTGTCACCAGGCACCCGGCTGGAGTGCAGTGGTGCCCTCTCAGCTCACTGCAACCTCTGCCTCCCAGGTTCAAGTAATTCTCCTGCCTCAGCCTCCCAAGTATCTGGGACTACAGGCGTGTGCCACCATGCCCAACTAATTTTTGTATTTTTAGTAGAGACACGAGGTTTCACCATGTTGGCCAGGACGGTCTCAATCTCTTGACATTGTGATCCGCCTGCATTGGCCTCCCAAAGTGCTGGGATTGCCTCGTCTGATCTTAGTTATTTATTGTCTTCTGCTAGCTTTTGAGTTTTTTTGACCTTGCTCCTCTAGCTCTTTCAATTTTGATGATAGGGTGTAGATTTTAGATCTTTCCTTGCTTCTCACGTGGGCATTTATTGCTATAGATTTCCCTCTAGACACTGCTTTAAATGTGTCCCAGAGATTCTGGTGTGTTGTATCTTCATTCTCACTGGTTTCAAAGAACATCTTTATTTCTGCCTTCATTTCATTGTTTATCCAGTCAACATTCAGGAGTCAGTTGTTCAGTTTCCATGAAGCTGTGCAGTCCTGAGTTAGTTTCTTAATTCTGAGTTCTAATTTGATTGCCCTGTGGTCTGAGAGACTGTTATGATTTCTGTTCTTTTGCATTTGCTGAGGAGTGATTTACTTCCAATTATAGGGTCAATTTTAGAGTAGGTCCAATGCAGTGCTGAGAATAATGTATATTCTGTGGGTTTGGGGTGGAGAGTTCTGTAGATGTCTATTAGGTCCTCTTGGTCCAGATCTGAGTTCAAGTCCTGGATATCCTTGTAAATTTTCTGTCTGGTTGATCTGTCTACTATTGACAGTGGAGTGTAAAAGGCTCCCACTATTATTGTGTGGGAATCTAAGTCTCTGTAAGTCATTAAGAACTTGCTTTATGTACCTGGGTGCTCCTGTATTGGGTGTGTATATATTTAAGATCATTAGCTCTGCTTGATGCATTGATCCTTTTACCATTATGTGGTGTCCTTCTTTGTCTCTTTTGATCTTTGTTGGTTTAAAGTCCATTTTATCAGAGACTAGGATTGCAACTCCTGCTTTTGTTTGCTCTCCATTTGCTTGATAAGTCTTCCTCCATCCCTTTATTTTGAGCCTATGTGTGTCCTTGCATGTGAGATGGGTTTCCTGGATAGAGCACACTGATGGGTCTTAGCTTCTTATCCAATTTGCCAGTCTGTATCTTTTGATTGGGACATTTAGCCCATTTACATTTTAGGTTAATATTGTCATGTGTGACTTTGATCCTGCCATTTTGATGCTAGGTGGATGTTTTGCCTGTTATTGATGCATTTTTTTTCATTGTGTCGATGGTCTTTACCATTTTGTATGTTTTTGGAGTGGCTCGTACTGGTTGTTCCTTTCATTGTTTAGTGCTTCTTTCAGGAGCTCTTGTAAGGCAGGCCCAGAGGTGATGAAATCTCTCAGCAGTTGCTTGTCCATAAAGGATTTTCTTTCTCCTTCACTTATGAAGCTTAGTTTGGCTGGATATGACATTCTAGGCTGAAAGTTCTTTCCTTTAAGGATATTGAATATTGGCCCCTATTCTCTTCTGGCTTGCAGGGTTTCTGCAGAGAGATCCCCTGTGAGTCTGATGGGCTTCCCTTTGTGGGTATCCCAACCTTTTTCTCTGGCTGCCCTTAGCATTTTTTCCTTCATTTCAGGTAAATCTGACGAGTATGTGCCTTGGGGTTGCTCTTCTTGAGGAATATCTTTGTGGTGTTCTCTGTATTTTCTGGACTTAAATGGTGGCCTGGCTTGCTAGGTTGGGGAAGTTCTCCTGGATAATATACTGAAAAGTGTTTTCTAGCTTGGATTTATTCTCTCTATCACATTCAGGTACACCTATAATACGTAGACTAGGTCTTTTCACAAACTCCCATATTTATTGGAGGCTTTGTTCATTTCTTTTCACTCTTTTTTCTCTATTCTTGCCTTCTCGTTTTATTTCATTGAGTTGATCTTCAATTTCTGATATCCTTTCTTCTGCTTGGTTGGTTGGGCTATTGAAACTTGTGTATGCTTTGCGAAGTTCTCGTGGTCTGTTTTTCAGCTCCATTAAGTGGTTTATATTCTTCTCTAAGCTGGTTATTCTAGTTAGCATCTCATCTAACCTTTTTTCTAGGTTCTTAGTTTCTTTGCATTGGTTTAGAACATGTTCTTTTAGCTCTAAGAAGTTTGTTATTACCCACCTTCTGAAGCCTGTTTCTATGAGTTCATCGGATTCATTCTCCATCCATCTTTGATCCTTAGCTGATGAGGAGTTGTGATCCTTTGGAGGAGGAGAGGCGTTCTGGTTTTTGGTGTTTTCATCCTTTCTGTGCTGGTTTCTTCCCATCTTAGTGGCTTTATCTACCTGTGGACTTTGTAGTTTGTGATTTTCAGATGGGGTCTCTGAGTGGACATCCTTTTTGTTGATCATGAAGCTATTTCTTTCTGTTTCTTAGTTTTCCTTTTAACAGTTGGGCCCCTCTGCTGCAGGATTGCTGGAGGTCCACTCCAGGCCCTGCTTGCCTGGGGATCACCTGCGGGGTCTGCAAAACAGTAAGGGTTGCTGCTGGTTTCTTCTTCTGTTATCTTCATCCATGGCTGAATAGGAACAGCCCCAGAGTGCAGTTACCAGCAAGAACAATGTAGAGGGTGAGTGCCTGCTGCATTTCCAAACAAATTTTCACTGCCCACAGACCAGGAGATTCCTGGGCCGAAAAGTGACACAAGTTTTCAGCATGGTGGTTTCAGCTGGTGCCAGCTTAGCGCACAGAAACTCACATAAATCTGGGCAGCAGTTTCATCTGGTGCCTGGAACGCTGGAGGAGACAGCTGGCTATTCAACTGAAAGAGAGGGGGCAGAAACAGGGAGCCGGTGATCTGGCTCTGTGGGTACCACCCCCACAAAACAAGCAATCTGAAACACTCTGGATTGAGAGTTTCCCAGCAAGTGAAGCTGGACCCAGGATGGTCCAGCTCAGTGAGGGGAAGGGCGACCACCACTACCAAGAGAGTCCACCACTACCGAGGCAGTTCACAAAGCAGCTGGGCAGAGCCTGAGGTAGCTTAGCAACACCTCTGCTGGCAGACTGTGACTAGACTACTCCGTATGGGCAGGGGATCTATGAAAAATGGCAGCAGCACAACAGGAACTTATAAATAAAGCCAACCTTCCTAAGGACAGAGCACCTGGGAAAAGAGGGAGTTATGAGTTCTGCTGCCGAAGACTTAAAAGTACCTGCACAGAATCTCTGCACGGAACAATGGAGCTCCCAGCACAGCACTTGAGCTCCTATAAGGGACAGACTGTCTCCTCAAGCAGCTCCCCGACCCTGGTATACCCCAAGAGACATCTGGCAGGTACCCTTCTAGAATTTTCTTTCAATGTTAGTAGCCAATATATAGATTCTCGCCCCTACTCTTAACTCTTACTAAGGTGTAAAGGAAAAGCTATTCCTTTGGTAGTTTAGAGATGAGCTGTCCCCAACAAAAAATGTAGTTTCATTAGCATAAATCTCACTGCTTAATCAAAAGCAATACTGTGATTTTAGTTAAGCTGAGACTTTCATTTTATCATAGTATTGACTGACCTCAGACCAGGCCAGATCTCAAGTTTCTTGTTCATGCTATTTTGATAATACAAATGGTTCTACTGCTTTAAAATTGTTCATCACTAATTCAACATAAAATATTTTACTCTTTTTTCTTGTGACAGATTACAGTTGCTTTTTAGTCTATTAGTTCTGCAAATAAAGGGAATTAAAGACTGAAAAATATCAGATATGTACAATTCTAACTCACTTACTTTCATCATAAATAAGCGTTAACAAAGCACATCATCTGCAAATCACCATTTCGCTTCGCTTGTTACTGTGTCAGTGTCCACACAGTTATTCAAAGGTCACTACTGTTGTTAACCTCAAAAGTCAAAAGCAAATAAGTAGTTTACTTCGACATGTGGGAAGCTGCCTTCTAACCAGTCTTGTTTCAGAATATACATTGTTTTTTTTTCCATGCATACACCCAACACCCAACAGCATTTTCTTGTCCTGAGCACCAAATTGCATCTGATTTGTTTTAATGGATGGCAAAGGAGCTAAAGGCTTTTAAAAATCAATGGACAAGAAAGAGTCAACAGAACAATAATGATAGTGTTAATTCACTCAAATACACTTAAAGTTGTTTACCTTTTGCCTTTGAGTCATTCTAAACAGGCTGGACATTTGACTTCTATGGTATTTATTATACTGAGTGGGTTTTTATATGTTAATGAACAGCATAACATGAAGCTGTGAATGCTGGTAAACATAATGCATTGCTAGAGTGAAAAATTATGTGTTTTAACTTTATTCAATTTCAAAATGTAATGTTTTTCATTAACATGAGAAACAAAAAAATTACAGGGAAGAAGTAACCAATTGGCAACAAAAGCAGAGTCTGTGAGTGGGGACATTTCTGGAAAAGCTGTGATTTCTCCTGAGCCAGGCTCAGTATATGCTCCAACTCCCCTTGGCACTGTCCTGAAAATACTTACACCTTGCCTAATTACATGCAGTATGGACCTGGCTCTGCTGGAAGCCCACAAGCTCATTAAAGTCACATAGTAGGTACTTCAAAAATACTCACGGAGCACTGCTGAAAGTATCAGTTACAATACTCTGTGAATCATTTTATGCTCTACGGGTTCCCCATTTAAATGACAGGGAAGCTGTTCTGTATTAGATTACAAAATGAATAATGAGATCATGACGGATGTGACTAGCTGTAGCTATTTATTGTTAAGTAGCCATTTAACAATAATTACGGTCTTCCATTTTTTAGGTTCATGTTATTTTCCTAAACTTCAACCTACATTCCCTCCCCAACCCCCAGACAGAATGGAGGTGATTGTTATAAACTGGAATTAGTACTTCTAGTTTTTAAAGGTTCTCATTACTCTTAGGGGAAACTGAATCTTTTAATTAAAAGCTGAAACTGTAAAATGTTAGAGTGGTAAATAATTGCTTTGGTAATTACCTTCTTTAACGGGATTGTGGGCCAAAGGTAATATGAGTTCAGCATCGGGATGGATAACAATTACTGGGGAGGCCTCAGTATTCTCAGGAGCCCCACTCTCTGCTGATTAAAGATGCCAAGATTCTGCCAGGTGCTGTGGCTCACGCCTGTAATCCAGCCCTTTGAGAGACCAAGGCAGAGGTGGGAGAGTTGCTTGAGCCCAGGAGTTTGAGACCAGCTTGGCAACATGGCAAGACCCTGTTTCTACGAAAAATTAGCTAGGCTTGGTGGTGCATGCCTGAGTTTCTGGCTAAATGGGAAGCAGGGGCGGGGGAGTTACCTGAGCCCAAGAGGCTGAGGCTGCAGCGAACCATGATTGTACCACTGAACTTCGGCCTGGGTGACAGAGTGAGAACTTATCTCCATAAAGGAAAACATAGAAAAAGCAAAAGCAATAGCAAAACCCAAGATTCTTCAGAGATCTGTCTTTTCAGACACAGAAGCTTTTGGGATGTGAGGGGAGAAGATGTGATCTATTGTTCTGAAACTCCTATGGGAATGCGTTTCATGAGTTTCTAATTTTGGAAAACATGACAGTAACTGAAAATTAATTAGTATTTCCCAGCCTTAATTCCTTTAGATTCTCTTATGGAGTACAAAGGGAGAACTAGGGAACTCAGGTGAAAGCATTGAGTCCTAGTGGCCCAAGAAAGACCCAGAGAGGAGGCAGGTGTCTTAACTTAAACTGGAGAGTGGGGTTAGCTGATGCTTAGGCAGGTGGGTCCAGACACGAACATGGAAAGAGTGAAGAAAAATAAATCTTGGGCAGGGGTGAGCAGGGGTGGGGACCAAGACATCTGTTGTGATGGCTAGTTGGAGCCTGGGTCAGTGTAACTGGACCAGGGATACAATTTGAGCAGACTCACTTAGGTAGAAGAAATGATCAGAATCAGGACTGAAAGTGGGCTTAGCAGGTAAACAAGTGCCAAGAGCAGAGGAGGAAGGAGGAGTGATGGGTCACAGACCACCAGCTGGCCAGCACTGTCCACTCACATTGTACTGCTACTGAATTGCTGGGTCTTCTGAAACTCATGGGATAGTGCCCCCTGGAGTTGTGCAAGGTGTGGTCCAGGATTAAGAGTGGTCAGAGGTGAAAAGCAGGATAATTCTCCGGGGATTCGGTTTGCTACTAGGGGTGCCCTTAACTGAGGCTTTCTCTGGGGTTGGGGTCAAGAGGTTAGAAAAGCTGTTCTGGGGCCTGGCCTCTGCTGTGAATAGGGGAGAAAAGAGGCCCAGCTGGAGGCTTTTTGTACCAAGTGCTTTAAGCATCTATTTTAAAGGTAGAATAGTTGACTAAGGACCTCTCCAGGAGCAGAAGGGGTGGGGAGTCACTTAAATTTGACAGAGTACCAGCACCATAGCTTCAGGTTCTCTCTAGCTCTTGAGATACACACACATACACATGCACAGGCATACCTTGTTTTATTGTGCTCTGCCATATTGTTCTTCACAGATACTGACTTTTTATAAATTGAAGGTTTGTGGTAACCCTGTGTTGAACAAGTCTCAGTGTTATTTTTCCAACAGCATGGGTTCACTTTGTGTCTCTGTGTCACATTCTGGTAATTCTCTCAATATATCAAAAATTTTCATTACTATTCTATCTGTTATGGCGATTTGTGACGGTGGTCTTTTATGTTACTGTTGTAATTGTTTTGGGACACCAGGATTCATGCCCATATGTGATGGAAAACTTAATAAATGTGGTGCGTATTCTGACTATTCCACTTGACCAACCATTCACCCCATCTCTCTCTCCCTCTGTGGGCCTACCTCTTTCCTGAGGCAGAGCAATACTGAAATTAGGCCAATTATTAATAATAACCCTACAATGGACTCTGAGTGTTCAAGTGAAAGGAAGAGTCATGCAGCTCTTAATTTTAATTGAAAGCTAGAAATGATTAAGCTTAGTGAGGAAAGCATGTCTAAAGTCAAGACAGGCTGAAAGCTAGGCCTCTTGCATTAAGCAGTTAGCTAAGATGGAAATGCAAAGGAAAAGTTCTCAATGGAAATTTGAAGTACTACTCCAGGGAACAAACAAAGGGTAGGAAAGAGAAATAGCTTTAATTGCTGATATGGAGAAACTTTGAGTGGTCTGGATGGAAGATCAAACCAGCCACATTTCCTTAAGCCAAAGCCTAATCCAGAACAAGACCCTAACTCTCTTCAATTCAATGAAGGCTGAGAGAGGTAAGGAAGCTGCAGAAGAAAAGTTTGGAGTTAGCAGCAGTTGTTTCATGAGGTTTAAGGAAAGAAGCCATCTCTGTAACATAAAAATGCAAGGTGAAGCAACAAGTACTGATGTAGAAGCTGCAGCAAGTTACCCAGAAGATCTAGCTACGATGAATCATTGATGAAGGTGACTACACTAAATGGTAGATTTTCACTGCAGACAAAACAGTCTTCTATTGGAAGAAGATGCCATCTAGGACTTCCATTACTAGAGAAGAAGTCAATGCCTGGCTTCAGAGCTTCAAAGGACAGGCTGACTCTATTGTTAGGGACTAATGCGGCTGGTGACTTTGTTAAAGCCAATGGTCATCGACTATTCCCAAAATCCCAGGACTTCTAAGAATGATGCTATTAATAAATCCTACTTTGCCTGTGTTGCATAAAGGAACCAACGAAGCCTGGATGAAGGCACATCTGCTTAGAGCATAGTTATTGAATATCTTAAGCCCACTTCTGAGATCTACTACTCAGAAAAAATAGACTCTTTCAAAAGATTACTGCTCATTGACAATGGACCTGGTTACCCAGGAGCTCCAATGAAGATGTACAGGAGATGAATGTTGTTTTCATGGCAGCTAACACAACATCTATTCTTCAGCTCATGGATCAAACAGTAATTTTAACTTTCAAGTCTTATTACTTAGGAAATACATTTTGTAAGGCTATGGCTACCATAGATAGTGATTCCTTTGATAAATCTGGGCAAAGTAAAGGGAAAACTTTCTGGAAAGAATTCACCATTCCAGATGCCACTAAAAACATGCAGGATTCATGGGAGGAGGTCAAAATACCGACATGAACAGAAGTTTGGGAGAAGTCCATTTCAACCATCATGGATGACTTTGAGGGGTTCAAGACTTCAGTGGCAGAAGGAACTACAGATGTGGTGGAAATAGCAAGAGAACTAGAGTTAGAAGTAAAGCTCCAAGATGGGGCTGAATCACTGTAATCTCAGGATCAAACCTGAACAGATGAGGAATTGCTTCTTATGGGAAGCAAAGATAGTAGTTTCTTGAGATTAAACAACACTTGGTGAAGATGATGTGAACACTACTTGTAATGACAACAAAGTATTTGGAATATTACATTCTCTGAGCTGATAAAGCAGCAGCAGGCTTGGGCAAGATTAACTCCGATTTTGAAAGTTCTACTGTGGGAAAAAGGGTCTCAAAGAGCACTGCATGCTACAGAGGAGTCTTTCATGAAAGGAAGAGTCCAGTGATGTGGCAAACTTCACTGTTGTCTTATTTTAAGAAATTGCCAAAGCCACCCAACCTTCAGCAACAACCACCCTGATCATCCAGCAGCCATCATCATCCAGACAAGACTCTCCACCTGCAAAAGGATTCTGGCTTATTGAAGGCTCAGTGATTGTTAGCAGTTTTTTTAGCAATAAAGTATTTTTAAATTGGGGCATGTACATTGTTCTTTTTAGGCATAATGCTATTGCACATTTAATGGACTAAAGAACAGCAACATAACTTTTATATGTACTGGGAAGCTGAAAATTCTTGTGATTTTGCTTTATTGTGGTGGTCTGAAACTGAACCTGCAATATCTCTGTGGTATGCCTCTGTGTGTGCGTGTGTATAAAATATATATAATGTGTATATATGTACGTATATGCATATAAATAATGGTTTTCTTTTTCTCTTTGCTTACCCAGATTCTGTTAGCCTGGTGAGGACTGAGTACATCTTCTGCAGCAGTGGCAGCCCAACCAGATTTCTAGCAAGTGGTACTCTGACTCCATAAAATGGGTGTGAATAGGCCCATACAAATAAGCAACTTTCAGTAACAATAGAGGGAGAACACACTAATTCAATTTTAGAAAACTGTCTCTATTTAAAGGTGTAAATACTTTATATTCTGGGTATCTTTTAAGGGATCATTTAAAACAAACTAACGAAAAAGGTTTCATTTATTACAAATGGGAATAAGGCCAGGTACCAGAGACCCTTAAAGGAGAGAAGTATACAGGTGCTCATGGGTTCCAGCTAATGGAATATACAGTGATGTAGCTAGTGTAGAGAGATGAGGGAAGTTCATTTTTAAGTGATGAGATTCACTGAATTCAACACCTATTTTTTTAATGTGTCTCCTATGTGCTTGGCAAGTGTCTCCCTTGAAACTAGGGAGACACTGAACAAGTGAGATAAGATTTTCACATGCATACAGTTACATTCCAGCATTTAAGAGGAAGCAGTATGTGTGTGGAGAAAACAGACAAACAAGAAATACCAGTTAGTGGGTTACTGTGATGAAAACAAAATGATAATGTGCTTAAAGGTGACTGAGGGCTATTTTAGGGAGGACGCTAAGGAAGGGCCTCCTAAGGAGAGGATGTTTATTTAGGTGGAGACCCTACTGACAGGGAGGGCCAGCTGGGAAGCAACTTCAGGTAGGAGAGCTCCATCCAGGCAGCGCTCCTAAGTGGGGACCAAGACTGAAGTATCAGAGGGAAGGAGAGGGAACCAGTAGAGAGTGAGCAAGGTGCTCAGTGGTGTGAAACACCATCTGAGAGGTGGGCTACCAGGGCCCCCAAAACCAGAGTAAGCGTAACTTGGTCCTAAGGGCAATGGAAAACCACTGGGAAGCTTTACATGGGGCAATGCCTGTATCTGATTTAGGCTTGTCAATACCACTTTGGTTACTAAGTGGAAAAAAGACTGTAGAGGCCAAAGAAACAGAGAAGGCAGGTTTGGAGGATATGGCGTTTGCCCAGGTGAGAGGTGATGGCAACCCACATTCAGACTACAGCAGGGAAAGTAGAGAAAAGACACTGGATTTGGCACATACTATGTTTGAAGGAACACTAGTATTACTTGCTGAGTCTGGACATGCAGGTGGATCAGAGAGACAGAACAGGGATCATTCTTGGTTTCTGGCTGAAGCAAAGGGGAGGAGGGATGATGATGGCACTTTCTGAGATGGAGAAGAGTGAAGAAAGACTAGATTTGTGGAAGGAAATTAAGTTACCTTTTCAATGGTATTTTAGGTATGCTGGCAGATAGGTCTGTTTGGAATTCAGGGAGAGTCAAGACTAGAGATATAAATTTGAAAGTTGTTAGAATATAGAAATACTAGAAACTATTACTTATTATGTCTTAAAGATTAGAGCCATTCCAAAGGTTACCAGTGCCTATGGATCTTTGGGTTTGCAGGGAGTCATACATGCATTAAAATCAGATTTAAACTTTATCTAACCAAGGGCCTCTCATCAAGACACGATTCTATCTGGTTATGAATATAACCATATCACCATCCTCCTATTTCCAGTAAAGGAAAGGGCAATTCTTGCAGAGACACAGGAAAAGAATCCGAAATTTAACTGGTTAACATTTGGGATGAAGAGTTTCATTTTCCATGGTGTCCGGGTACTCACTTGCTCACACCCTCCCTCAACTTAAATGCTGAAGAAAATCCTGCCCTTGACAGGGATGTGCTGAATAACACTGGGGTGGGGGTGGGGAGTACCAGAACCTTCAATAGAAAGAGAGAGAGATAGAGAGAGAGAGAGAGAGAGAGAGAGAGAGAGAGCGAGCACACCCTGCCTTAGAGGAACTTGATGAACAACCTGACAGGTCATCAGTCAATGAGCTTTGAATCAGATCTGTGGGTTCTAAGTATGGAGAATCAGGGCCCTCAAAAGAGCAGGTGTGAAATCTCTGGGAATGAGATTATATAAGAAAAGGTACTGAATCTTTTCCTATTGAAGCCAACAAGAGAAATGATAAAAACAACAGCTGATGCCTTCAGTTTCATAATTAAATCATTATGATTTAATGCAAAAATCTGGGTAATAGGAAACAGCAATAACATTATGTTTTGAGAAACGAAATGTTTGCTTAGTTAATAAGGAAATCCTCCGTGGTGTCTTGGTTTGAAGGAGGACTATTGGTTAAAAATTCAACTTACTTGTTTTAAAATGATCCAAATGGAATGATTTGAAGAGGAACATTAAAGTTCTGTACTTAATTTTATTCATTTATACCCTTCTCTCTTTTGTGATGGGAAAATAAAAAGCTTAATCAATAGAAGAGACACTCATCAGGTTGCATCGTGACAACCAGAGAGCTAAAACAAAAACAATGCTGCTGTGGTCAGTATAGAGGAGCCACGCGGGTTACACTGACAGGCCACATTGCCTTGGTCAGGTTGGCTAAGCCAGCGGGAACTGATGTCAGTGGTTATTAATCATTTGTCAAAGACTGCAAGGATTTATCAGATAATTATGTTTATAAGCATGTTTATATCACATAAACATGTGGCAAAGCTGCAAAGGATTGAGGCCCTAACAATCTGCAATGACATTTTAAAAAACTACAGATAAGTGATAAATCATTGAGCAAACACTTTAGAAGATTATGCTGTTCTTTATTGTTTTGGTATTCTGAATTTTGTTTATTATATATTTCCAAGAACATTTAGAATCTTGCAAAGTCTTTGACTACATTCCTTCCTCCTGCTAATTTTCCAATGAGTTGTAAAAATAGCAAGTATAATCATCATTTGAAACAAAAGACTGGTTATTGATTCCATCCTATGAACAGACAATCAGACGGTAATCACAGCTTATTTCATAAAATTCATTCCTGAGCAGGAATATCTTAGGTTATTCTGAAGAATCTATATAAGCATTGAAAGAAATGTGCCTAAGGGACAGTTCTAAACTCCACAAACCAATAGATGACATTTTAAATAAATGACTTGAGGCTGCAAATGGCATCCATTTTGCTCTGTCTGGCAGCATGCAAGTTTACATGCTAGGAAACGTCTCTCAACATGAATGAACTGTGAAATTGTTTCCTCCTACCCCACACTTCTCTAAATTATATGAGATTATGTTAGCCATTTCTGCACCTTGTTGTAGAAGCTGTCAGTGCCCTAAGAGGCAATGTTTGGTGGATGCTGGAGGCAAGGGCCCCAGCATCTGAGATGCTGCTTAAATATCAGTTAGAGTGTTAGGAAAAAATAATGGAAAATATCATCCCATGCCTAACAGCATAAGGGGAATGGCTTTGTTGCAAATCTAGACATGCAAGGGAAGATGATGAGGTGAACCATATATATTTCAATTCTTAGATTGTAAACTTCTCAGGAAAATGATTACCATTGCATCCCACCTTGATCCAATGTCAAGCACTGCTCTGTGAGTAAAAGTGAATGACTTTACTGTGAGAAAACAATATATGAATATATGCAGCATTTTAGCTATTTTCATCCTAGAGCTAACCCTTTAAAACCCAAATTTACCTGCTTTTGTGGATTGCATTTTGTCTTTAATGTTAATCTTACACACAAAAAACTAAGAAGGTGATTATGTTGCAGAAATAAAAGTCTTTCCAGATTAAAATGTGCATGAGTGATCACTCCACTGTACTGTGGTCTAGGTGACAAGAGTGAGACTGTCTCCAAAAAAAAAAAAGAAAGAAATAGAAAAATATATGCATGAAAGACTGGGGATATTGATTGTCCTGTTATATTAATAAAGCTAATAGAAAGGTGATTCTCTAAACATGTACATATGTGGGAACCAGTCTATGTAATTTAAAAACCTTAGGATCTTTGGTCTCTGGAGTAGTTGTAGATATCTCATTGGGCATCTCACTTCCCAGAGGTCACCATCACGCTTTCCTCTTGTAGAATTGCTTGTTCACACCACCCTGTCTCTGCCATGTTAGCATTACTTTAATCACAGCCACACTTGATTCAGGAAACAAAGGGCCTACCTGCTTTTCATGTATTGTTCACAGCCTCCATACCAGAACTTTCAATCAAGGATTCAAGTTAGATGCTCGTTTATCCAAGAGGGTAGACTTCAGAGAATTATCTTCTAATTTCTTATATTTTTTCATATTAATTATCGATATCCTTTAAATTTAAATTTCTATATTTTAGGGTCTAAAGCATGGGGATACTAATTGGAAGAAATATAATAAATACAGATCTTAAGAAGAATCAGAGCTTTCAGTTTTAAGTTAAATTACATGCATTATATGATTCAATTTACTTCATTTTTATATGATGATATATACTGACCTCATAATTTTATCATCTTCTGTATTTATGGCCCAATAATGCCTTCCTGCCAATTCTCTTAAGCTGCTGAATTTATGAGCCAAGCGCCAAGTCATATAATCTGCAGATTTTCTGAACGGTTATATAATAATTTTTTAGGAAACTGATAGATAACTTGCTGGAAAAAGGGGTTGGTGGTATTTTATTTCTGGCTTTAGAATTTGGCCTTTTTATTTCATTATGCAGAAATGTAAATTAATTTTTCTTAAATAAATAAACATTTACTTGGTTGCATAAAATACCCTGTCTACCTGGTGAATTATTTCATATTCTATCTTGACAGTATATCTTTGGAAACAAATTTGTAAAAGAGATATTTAAAGTTGCATATTACCATATCTGGATATTCATTCATTTATTCAATTATCTATCCAATATTTATAAAGCATGTTTTTTATACAGGACAATGAAATGAAAGTAGTGTGATCCTTCAATGACAAGACTGCTTTATGAAGCAAAGGCTGTAATGAGTCTTGTACAAGTCATGGAATCATAAAGTTGGAATTGGCCTCGGAGAGCACCCAACTCAAGTCCTTTCTTTTACACATGAGGGTATTCATATTATTAAAACGGTCTGGAGAGGTCAGAGGCTTGTCTGAGATTATACACTATATTACAGAATTAGGATGAGAATTAGTTCGCTTTTCTCCTTTTATTCAAACAAAAGGCTCCACTGTCTAACATATCTTACTATCAATCTCATTTGTTCAAACCACAAATTAGTTCTTTTTTTTTTTTGAGACAGAGTCTTACTGCTGCCTGGGCTGGAGTGCAGTTGTATGATCTTGGCTCACTGTAACCTCTGCTTCCTGGGATCAAGTGATTCTCGTGCCTCAGCTTCCTGAGTAGCTGGGACTACAGGCATATGCCACTACACCCAGCTAATTTTTATATTTTTATTAGAAACGTGGTTTTACCATGATGGCCAGGCTTGTCTCGAACTCCTGACTTCAGGTCATCCAACTGTCTTGGTCTTCCAAAGTGCTGGGATTATAGGCATGAGCCACCATGCCTGACCCAAATTCTTAATTTATTATAATTTAGACCAAAGTTGGATTTTCAGTTACCTTGAAAGCTTACTCATATATTGAAAAAAATAATTTGTTAGGCACATCTAGATGAGCTACAAGATTCTTAGTGACATGTTCACCTATCAAGAGATAACTAATTTTAACAATATTAAAACACCTTCTTATATATATTGAAATTCTAATCTCAATTTTAAACTCTTTAGTGTATCTATTTATGATAGTGACAATTCACCCTACTAGGTAACATGAATAAATGATCAGAGCAAGTGTACAGAACAGGAACCTTTATAAGAGATTGCTAATAAAGAACATTTACTCTACCTGTGTCATGAATATTCTGGATTCCAGTAAAAGTCCTATAAACCATTTATGTGGTTTCCTGGAAGCCATGCTCATGTTACATGGCTTGGTTCATTGTTTATTGCTGCCTGGACCAGAATGGGTACTTGGCCCAAGCTAAGTTAATCACATTCTCTCTCTCAGAAAGGGAGGTGCAGACATCGTCTTTCAGCCTTGACACATATGTTGAACTGTAATATGTCAACTCCAGAGCTGTCAAATGGCCATATGTGGACTAGGGAGCAGAGAAAGCTGATCCTTAGAGAGAAGAATGGAGCAGATGGGAGGAAGCAAGCAGAGATGGAGTGAACAGACTGCCTGGCTGCCTCTCGGCTTTCTAGTTCCTAGTTTCAGGCCCCTCCTGAGGCTTGGTGGCCTCTGGGTTCTAGAATACAGCCCTGTACCTTACTTAACAACCCCCACCCTGCCTTTCTTTCTCTTTCTCCCTATCTTTTTCTGTTTTTTAAAGTAGTTAAGCTGTTTTGTACTGTGTAACCAAAGAGTCTTAATTCAGACACCATGCAATAGTTAACACACCCTCCATAGGACAACCCACAGCACAGGTCAGATGCATTTGGATAATGAGGTGCACCACAGTAACTAAGACTCTCCAGGTAGGCTCAAGATATATGGACTTTTCAATGATTTCCTAGTGTATGATAAATACTGATAAGGTAGTACTGATTCATATAGATAAACTAGCTTATATAATTATTTATCAGAAAGTTATAGAATAACACAAGTATTTCAAAACTCAGATTTAGATCCCTTGTTCCTACTGAACCAAAAATAATGAGGTTTTTTCATCACAACAAATGACTCATATACCAATGACATTTTTGAAATAATAAAAATAATTTTGAGATTATAAACTTTTGAGGTTATGAAAAAAGAGACCGGTTATTTGAACTTTTATAAGCTATCTTAATAAATTTAAGAGCACCAAGTGATATAAAAAAATGCCTAAAATGTACCAAACATCAGAAACCTATTAAAATGAAATATTTATGCAAATAAATTAATAATGAATAAATTAACACTTGGTGAGAACTTGCTATGTGCCAGGAACTGTTCTAAGAAGTTTTCATTTGAATCTCCCCAAAATACTATGAAGTAATTCTTATGCCTGAATTACCTGGAGTCAAATGACGTATGCAAAATTCCACTAGTAAAAGGTAGATATTTAAACCTAGGTAGACTGTTACCACTCTTCTAAAGACCAAAGAAGACAAGCAGATGAACTGAGACTTTGAAAGAACATAACTTTGGAAGCTAGAAGTTTTGGAAGACAATTTCAGGAAACCAAGAAAAATGCACAATCTTCAAACTAAGTGTGTGTGTGTGTTTAAAAACCATTTAGATTATTGATAATACTTACCGAGGGTTAGAAGGAGAAGGTGGGTTCATTTCTTTCTGATAGTGGCGACCCTGGTTGACAGGCTGTAAAAGACAAAACATTTGTGAATGTTTAATCAGCACAAAGCTGTTTACATATATGTTCAAATCCACTCTCATTACTGTAACTGTTTCCTTGGACACAACTCACAAGAAGGGTATAGGTTTATTTTACAGAATAGTCAAAGGCTCTTTGGAGACCCAGCAAATAGCAGAGTGATAAAAATGAGAAATCACATTTATTACTATTATCATTTTAATGACCCAGTCATTAGACTTCATAGCATCTATGATGTAATTAAAGGTCATGTACTGAAATTTTCCTCTTTGTGGAATTTTTATGCTGTTAACTTTGGTTGATATTTTTAGACAGAGCAAAAGAAAATGAGGTATCTCATGGAACTAATGCTGCAGTGCAAGCATCATTAATAACAGAGTCCCAGACACACAGAAAATATATTAGTCTCAATGTTAGTAAGTTTGTAAGAATACTTTCTGTTACCACTAATGAGTAAATTTTAGGTCAAGGTGGTCATTTTCCCCAAGTGTGTATAAAACAACCTCAAGCACTGATCAATAAGCTGAAAAAAAAATGATGCCATACCTAACAAAAATGTGAAATCCCAAATTTTCCCTCCACAAGAAACCTTTCAGTTACATTTCAAAACATAGCTGAGCAACTATCTCTCATGTAGCTTTAAATACTTGCTTCCAACAGAACTTGATATTTTCCCTTTGTTCTATAAGGGAGAAAATTCCATCCTTTTTTGAACATCAGCTCTAAGTATTTATGTGGTTAGCAACAATGCAATTCTAATAGGAAATCATTTTCAACATTCTTATTTTATTACAATTTAGAATTTGGTATACATGTTTAAATTGCATTCAAAGAGCTTTAGCTACTTCCATCCCCAGTGGGGTTGGTGTTAAGACTTTCTCACCCATCATCATGCGGCGCCTGTCTGAGGAAAACAATGTAGCCATGGTGCCTGTACAGATAGAGCCTATACTCCTTAGTTTCCACATCTTCCTTATTATGATAAGTCCTAAAATATTAACGACATAGGGGATGGGAATTCTTCAGAGTAAACTGTCTTCCTCTATAAATTATCTCTTGGAAGTGCTCCTTTAATTTAAATCAAACACCCCATCTGATAATCACAGTCACTTAGCCTGACTACCTGTTATGCGCCATGAATTTAAATGTACTCAGATACTTTGGTAATTGAACCAATATCAATGCATCACTATTTCAGTAATAAGAAACAACAGCTGGGAGAACAGTGGAAGGAAAAACATGTCATAAGACATATTTGATCTCACTAGAGAAATAAGACTTCCAGCAATTTGCAAGTGAAATTTGGTTTTATAATTTAGGCTTTATTATTTCACAGTAAAAAAGAAATTAGCAAGCAAAAGGCCTAACAGGTTCTCTGGACCAACTCACACCGATACAGAAATACTCTCAATAACAAATTCATTGGTATTTGTCCAGTATTTCAGCTGTACTCATGCCTCCAGTGAATGGACCCCTGCTTACTTATTTTCAGAGGCATTTCCATAACACTCTAAGCACCACAGTCCTGATATTCAGGTGACTTTCTATTTCTTAATTTTATACTATTAGTTCTATTTATACCTATCCCTAAACCTCTATTCCAAGTGACTTACTCCATCTCTTGGAAAATAGAAGTGGTTACAGAATCCTATCTTGTTTGTGACTCAGCCCCTCCTTGCTTTAGACTATACAAACTGATCCATTTCCATCTTTGCTCATAATGATTTTTAAGTGTTAGAAAACAAAAAAGTAACCAATAGAAGCTTTTCAACTAAAAACTGCTGACACAAACAGATAGAAAGGTGAACGACTAGCTGTCTGGAGCCAGACGTCTTCACCTACAAACGGATATTGATGGAATTCAGGACATGCTAACCCCTGGCATTTGCAGTAGCAGGAAGGTCACTCTCCCCCTCCCCTGTTCTCCCCTGCAGCTGGTCATAAAACATAGGTAGAATTTTCTGACCACCCCCTGGAGCAGGTCATAAGATGCTCATTTGAGAGATGCCCTCTCTATCCCCTAAGAAAGGATCATCCTTATCTCTGAAGACACAGGGACACAGAGAAGAATCTGCACAAAAGGCCTTGCTGATTTTCCTCAGTCTATTTCCATTAGCTCATAGCTCCATTGTCCAATCATATTTCTCCACCATTTTCCCCTCTTCATCAAACCTACAGTAAAAATATTCAAGTTTAACTGTTTGTTCAGCTCTTCGTTTCCTTATAAAGAGTCCCGTATCACAGAAAACTTAACATGAAATAAATTTGCATGTTTTTCTTTTGCTAATCTGTCAAAACAGAGGCCTTGGCGATGAATCCAGGATGGGTGAGAAAAAGATATTTTTCCTCCCCTAAAATATGTTTATATACATATGTAGCAGTAAACCTATTTCTAGGTAGGTAGCATCCTATGAAAGCACCAACGAAATTATATCAAATTTGTTTTGATTTTGGCATTCAGCCATACCTAGAGAATATCATAAGTAGATGCAAAGGGATGGCAACCAGTATCTACAGAGAACTATGACCATCATCATAATAGCAGTGACTGATATTTATTGAGTACTTATGCTAATTCTTGGTAGATATGATCTCATTTGCTCTTCAGAGCAATTCTATGAAATAAATAGGATGAACAACTCCATCTAGCAGAAGAGGAAACTGACACTGGGTATTAACCCGGGATCGTGACTGCCAGGAAAGAGTAGAGCTAGACTGTGAACTCAGGTAGGCTGAGTCCACAACTTACTCTCTTAACCACTAGTCTGTAATGTTTATTTCAGCTCGAGAGTGCATCTACAGTGGTGACTATTTAAGTTTTTTGAATAACAAATATGACAAAATCAGTTCTGTTTGTGGCAGGAAAAAAATGTGACCCCCGAAGAAATACATTTATTTGAAATATATATGACTATATCCTTACCATAACTTAAATTCATTTGATTTTATTCTTATGACATGTCACTATATATTTAAAATTTAACAAGTGAGTTTTGCCGCATTACTAAATTTGGAGCAATCATAAAATATAATAGACAGTACTCTGAGAATAAAAAAAAGTTTATACCCTGGGGTGACTTTCATAGTTACTAAACACAGAACAACTTGCACATTTCAATATTTCCTCCTGACAATACAGATATTACACTGACTGTAATATCAGTTTTCGTATATCATTTCTATAGTTGTATAAGAACATCTGCTCATATGATTTATCTGCAGCTTAGCACAATCAACTACTTACCTTTTTAGTTCAGGAGGATTAAAAGAAAACTCATTCTACCCAAAGAGAGCTGAGAAGTTAATGAATCTGTAGATCAGAACAAATTAAAACCTATTAACTATAAGGAGCCTGAGAGGCCAATATATTATATTTTGAATACACAGCAACCAGGAATATCATGCAAAAATGCTGATATGCTGTTGAGTAAAGAAATGGAAAAGATCCTAGAAACTCAGGGACTTGTCCTTTTGGTGGCACTGTTGCTATGTGCTAGTGCCAGGAAAACAGTATTCAAATAAAATTAACTACCAGGGAGCACAAGAAGCTTTGCTCTTCCAGGATCAAGCTGCTAGAGATTTTGGGGTGAGGGAGAGAAATGAAGCCTAAATAAAAGAACAGGAGATAAGATAATCCTGGCATGTTAAAAGGTAAAGACAATATTTTTATGCTGTTATGTAAAACCTAGGAAAATGGCAGTAATGTTGTTGCAAGGTTAATCAAGACCACAAATAACTTGTCTGAGAACCTCACCATATGCTTGCAATTTTATTAAGTGTATTTTGCTTTGTTATTTTCCAAATATTATGCTCTACAACATGTCATGTTGATGGATGCATGCAATGAGCTTTTCTTTTTTTTTTTTGTAAGCTAAAGAGACTTATGTGCTTGATATTAGGTTATGGGGATTCTTTTTTTTCAAGAGATGGGGGTCTCATTATATCACCCACACTGGCCTTGAATTCCTGGGCTAAAATCCTCCTGCCTTAGACTCCTGATTAGCTGGAACTACAGACCTGTGCCACCACACCCCGTCAGGTTATATTAATTATTAACTTGAAGGAATGACGGCTTTGGGGCATCCACTCACAGGCTAGCTGTACAATAAGCCTGCATTTCTTGAATCTACATTTGAGGGGGGAAAGTGAAATGAAATACTGAAATAAAAAAATGAGAGAGTTTATTTTTAAGGATCTGAGGGAGCCAGTCTGTATGCCAATGGTTAAACACACATCAAAACAAGGACTACAGAATCTCTGCTTATCCTTACAGGCCTCAGTCATCATAAAAAGGGATAATGTTCTGGAAATTTTGTTCTGATCACTCAAGTGGTCCTCTGAGGAGAATAACCTCAGGGGAGCAGCAGTTGACAGTGTAAGCTTACTCTGCTAAACAGGCACATGCATTTCATGTACTCATTCGCTTTGCATAATGCCAATCTTAGGAAGGTTCTTTTATTATTTCTGTTTCAAAGGTCATCATGTTCATAAATGGCAGATCTGGGATTTGAGCCCAAGTTGACTGATCTAGAGTTTAGATTTATTTAGGCATCACATGAAGCAGTGTCCATTGATAGCTATTCCTATTCCTTAAAAAAAAGAAAACACACACACACACACACACACACACACACACACACACACACGATATGGCTTTATGGTATTGTCAATCAAAATCCCTCATCAAGAGAGAATTCAATGAAAATTCATTATAACTAACTCCCAGCACCCTTCTGAAGGCTGCTGAGAGCCAAGTTTTTGAATAAATCTCATGAGGGCTACTCCTAACAGAAACTCTCCAAAATTGATTACTTGTAGCCTGGTTTCCACAGAAGTTGTAAAGTATTGTTTTAATTGAATTTGGTTCTAAGTTAGAAACTTTGAAAAATTTGTCTGTCAAAGGCCAATGGATTTCTCAGTAGGCTTGATTTATTTAGCAAGAGATGCACACAAAAGCCAATTTGCTATGAGGAATATGGTTACATTT